TTTCACCCTGGCTGCGATGACAGCCGTTAATCGCTGTAGTTTGTCGCTCCCTGTGTGTCGAGCCCTTAAGACAGTTAAAACAACAAACAGTTGAAGATAAAACTATGAAAGTTAAAATAAAATTGGTTTAAAAATTTGTCAAGTCAGATAGGCTATGTTAAAATATTCGTGTTAAATAGGAGGCACAATGTGTTAATTTTGTTTTTGATATTGTTTTATTATTACTACATTTATTACTTATGGTTCTGTTATGTTATATGCATGATTAAATACAGCAAAATAAACTATTTAAAGGTAACAAATCTTTGTAATACTTGTTTATTTACATAATGACTTTAATTGCTGGATGTTCGGCCCCTGTGCTGTTGGTCTGCATTAACTGTGGCCCCTGGAGCAATTTAGCTGAATAGCCCTGCCCTACTGCCTAAACTCTACAATATAACCAAATTAAATGTGACCAAACACAAGCTTGTTCACGTTGCATAAATGAGCCAATTTGTTTTTCTATCCGGAACAAAAAGAACAGCAGTGACATGAGAGAGAAGAACGGTGTTATCCACGAAGCATGTGGTGTCGTGGCTAGAAATAGACTCTTGGGTTTGTTTTGATTCATGGGAAACTGGCACCACACCCACAGTGGCAGATTCACATCACTGGAGAGAGCGGTCCTAATGCTCTGAACAGCACTGAGCTGAGCATTTTCTCTGACAAATTACAAAAAAAAAATTAATTAAAAAAACTTAAAAATCAACCGGCTTTTAAGTAAAATGGTCTTAAGAGGCAGAATATTTCAAACCACCAGTGCGTCCTTTTAAAAATTGTATCTCAAGACTTATAAACATTTATATAAAACTCCTATGCACGTGGATATGAAAGCAAACAGTCGTTCAGACTAATAAAAACATAAAAAAACATGAACCTGTTGTCAAGACAAATGCATGGTTTAGTCATTATTCATCAATGCTGCCAACGTTCTCCAACATGGTGTGTGATCATGAATCAGCACTTCTGTTTTCTTTCAAACTACTTGACTATCAGAAAAGTGACTCGTCTGAATCTCAACAAACTGATGCGAAGCCGTTCATCTTACCTCTTTGCTGCCCTCCAGGTCAGAGGAGTCGCTGCTGAAATCCTCCGTGTTCAGGTTTTCGAAGTCCGACTCGCCCACGGCAATGGGCACTGTCACCGTCAGGCTGGGGTTGTGAATAAATGACATGTAGTCGCACTCCTCCATTGGGTACTGGCCCGCAGTGTCCCCACCCACCCCGACCACCAGCCCTCCTCCTGGCCTCCCATTGCCCTCCATGGTGTACACACCACCGAGGTCTTTGGTGATCTCCAGCGGTGTGTGGTTGGAGATGCAGTTGCCCTTCCCGTTGCTGTGTAGCTCATCCAGTGGTTTGCTCTCCTCGGCCAGGCCGGAGCCCTTACCGCCGCCAAAGCAGAGGCTTCGGACCAACTGCCGCACTTTGGACTTGACGTACGAGATGCCCCGCTGGATGCGGCCCACAGCGATCTGCAGGTTGTTCATCTCGCTGTCGTCGTCGGTCGCAGCCAGATTGTCGGCGCTGAAGGAGCTCAGGAGGAGAGCCAGGAACAGGTTCAGAACCTAGAAGGGAAACAAGATTTAGTAAAAAAAAACTTGTAATCCAACAAAACACTACGCAAAGCAAAACTTCATACCACAAGGTTTCCGATGACCATGACCATCATGAAGACGATGATGCACATGGACTGCCCCGCCACCTCCATACAGTCCCACATGGTCTCAATCCACTCTCCGCACAGCACCCGGAACACGATGAGGAATGAGTGGAAGAAGTCGTGCATGTGCCAGCGCGGCAGCTCGCAGTCGTCCGAAATTTTGCACACACACTCCTTGTAGCTCTTGCCGAACAGCTGCATGCCCACCACGGCRAAGATGAACACAATGATGGCCAGCACCAAGGTCAGGTTGCCCAGGGCACCGACCGAGTTCCCGATGATCTTGATCAGCATGTTGAGTGTGGGCCATGACTTGGCCAGTTTGAAGACCCTCAGCTGGTTGAAGAGGAAGATTACAGGGTCACATCTGGATGGWTGGCAACTTTTCAAGATAATAATACAACATACAGTAGGGCTGGGTATCATGGCCACGTCTCCGAATCAATTCACTTTTGGTTCACGAGGTTCTGAATCGATTAATCACGATTCGATTTGATCCAATTCGATTCGATCTGCTCAAAAATAATGAAAATGGTTCAATTGTGTTGCAAAATACAATAGCACTTTATTTTTTCTCTTCGACATAAACAACAGGTTTTAAGGGCAAACTTTTAAATTAAACAATTTAATCTTGAAAGGAAACTGTCACAAGTTTAAAAGGTTGTAAATTAAAAAGGAATTGCAGGTGACAGTGTTGTTGGATACATTCATTTTCAAGAAATTAATAATTTTCCTGATAAATAAGAAGTGATGGGAATAAGGYTGCAGGAGAAGAGGTGGGCTAATATAAATATACTTGCGCCCACACGTTTTGAGTGTATGACAATTGTATATTTGTAATGTTTCTGTTGCCTTCTGTTGTTATGCTCAATAAAACTTATCAAAACTTATTACTTATAACTTATTAAAACAAATGATACAACTACGATATTTCATCACTGTGGATTTCATTAAGACGTTTCTTAAAGTTAAAAAATAATATCTGTAACAAAACTAAACAATATTGCTAGAATGTCATCTTTCACACATTTCTACATGCTGTGGAGAACAGTTTCAGTCAGATGTTTACATACAGTTGACTGAGCACCTGAACCTGAGCACTTGCTCATCGTATCATGCTTCATTTTCTGCTATCGCGTAGGAGCGCAAATCTTTACAAACAAAATTCGCCATTGTCTCTGTTATCTTTAAGTTCTGTGAAGAGTCAGCTGGTAATGTTAGTGATTCCTTGKTTTCTTTTATTTTGCTCCAGACAACTTGTCGAAAGCTAACATTAGYACTGAACGTCAACTGAATGTAAACATACGGCAAGCCAGGAGTGACAAATRCGCATCAGACGCACACACAAGACRCCATGGGGAAGAATYGATCTCATTCCCTGYGAATTGATTTTCYCAAATTTRAATGAAATCGATCCAAGATCGATTAAATCAATTTTTTTACCCAGCTAAAAAAAGTTAACATCTGCAAAGGTTTACACATGAAAATACATTGTTCCACCATTATTTCAGTTCAGGCCTGTTTCACGAGTTTTATTTTTAAAAAGATCTGTTGAAGCATGGGTGAAAAGCAATATCTGAATATCATTTGTTAATTTTTACAGAATTTTAATTTTTTATTATTTATGCCAGATTGTCCTGATGCATCTCAGTAATCTGCAAAGGTTTACACATGAAAATACATTGTT